ACAGTGTCAAAGGCTTTACTGAAGTTCAGATAGACAACATCCACAACCTTTGCCTCGTCCAGTAGGTGGGTCACCTGGTCATAGAAGGAGATCAGGTTGGTCAAGCAGGACCTGCCTTCCATGAACCTGTGCTGGCTGGGCCTGATCCCCTAGTTGTTACATTGGGTTTTGCTCAAGGCACCAAACCATAACAATTTTACCTTCACCCTTAGAAAACAATACTGGTAAGTAAAACGAAGGAGAAAAGTAAAAGAAACCAAAAGGATCACAAAATCGTAAAGAAATCCTTGCAGGACGTAACTAAAAGTCTACAGAGGCTCTGCTGTTCCCATTTCTCTACCAGAAATGGCCACGCATGATGCAGACAAGTCTGAACTAGCTCTCTGTGGGTGAGTCAAGGTCTGGAAATCACACAACAGCATCCACTCAGAGGCAGGGATTAGTCCATGGGTGCATAAGTGCTGCTAACACTACATCCTGACCCAGTCTGGTAAGTCTGTGTGAACTTACCATGAATCTCTACAAGCTCAGAAATCACTAAACCACAATCCATTGCACAGTGGAGCCATGCCAGCAGCAAGGCATTAACAATGTTGTCCACTCCAGAGGAGCTGAAAGATGAATGGGCATCTCTGAGGGCAGAATTGGGCCCAGCAAATGAGCAAAGATTCTTAGAGCAACACCTCAAGTGACACAAATTATGTTATAAAATTGATCCCTTCCTTACACATGGCAGAATGCTTCCAGGGCACTCAACATCCTATTCCATTAAGCCATGATAAATGAGACCATATTTCCACATCAGTCTGAACCCATCTTTTAAATCTGCTTGTTCAAATATTTGGTTACTTATTCCCCTTTCCTTCTTTAAGATAGCAAAAACTGTCTTTCTCTTTTCCAACTTCACATGTGTTAATAGATGCCATTATTGCAGGACCACCACCTAGGAATTTTACTTCTTCACAGAATTCTTCATCTTAAGAGCATGCAAAATTTTGAGAGAAATCACTGAAAAACATTTTGTGTGCAATCTCTATGTGTACACTCAGCAACTTAAAAATAATGGACTCAAAGATACAAGAGAGCCATAGAACGAATTATGGAGAAATGCCCCAAAAAAGTAACTTTCCTACTGCTAGTTTGAAGAAGATCACCACCACCACCTGGAACAGTGTTAAGATGGAAACCTGTGGAGAGGCGCAAAATTGTTTCAAGCAGATCGCTACGGCTCGAGGTGGCTAGGGAAGGTTCATAAATTGATAAGCACCACCGAAGGATCATAAGCCTCCACATCAATTGTATAAAGATTACAACAGAGCCACTCTCTGCAGTCATTCTGAAAAGGTTATGGGTTTCACAGGTGTGCACTGTCAGTTCTGATTAAGCTTAAACTAAACCAGTTATCTATAACGTTGGATTGGAAGGAGTTTTATTGCTGAATGCAGGGTAAATCAAATTCAGGATACACATCTGTGGAAAAACACAGAGGGCCAAAGTTCACAGCCTTGACACAGACAAAAAAAAAATCCAACCCTCCAAACTCAGGAGGAGATTTGACTGTAAAAGATCCATCAGTCTGGCTATTGTCATACGTTCTGTATTGGAGAGGAAAGTTATTCGTCACCTTAACACAGCTTTGGGTTTTCTTTCCCTCTTCAAATTATTGTTTGCTCTTGTAACACAGACTGTTTTAAGATTATTATCTGCATTCATTTCTGAAGTACCATTTATCTGATCATAAATGAAATTAATTATACACCTATACTTTTCACTACACAGGATATAAACTAAAGCAGCTATAGCAACAAATTCACAATGTAATTTTTCATCTGTGTGACTAGGAATCTTTCCAAAAACAACAGTTCACATCAGAGTTTCTTAGAGCTACTCAAAAAAACTGTGGGTGAAATCCTGTGCCCAAGAAACACTGCTAACAACTCAATTGATTTCAACAGTGCCAGGATTTCACTCAAAAACTAAAGAAAGAAAAAATGCATTCTTAATAGTTGATTCAAGTTGCAAAAGGTCCATTCTGTTTCCAAAAATACTTCGTATTAATGCTGCACTTTAAAGCGCCTCTATTGACTCACAGCGTTAATAGATGGCAAAAGTGAAAAAAATGTATTTGCTTTTGCAACATCATTATTTCCTTTGCATGCAATTATTTACTTGCCAAACAATGCTAGCGACAAATCGCCACAGACTATGAAGCCATCTACATCAGCAGATTTTTAACCTAAGGTAAAAATAAACAGAAACATCTGTAAAGTAATCTTGTACAAAGCTACGTTTATTAACAAATACATTTTCTAATAAAACACCATCTGCAAGCAACCCTCAGCTTCCACTTGATATAAATAGGCCTTTTACTGTTTTCAGATGCAGTTCCCAGAAAATTATTCCAAGCTCTACTGCAAAACACATCAGTCTTTGTTGCTGCCTGGAATGTTAATAAATAACATCAAGTTTTTAAATAGTCAAATTATTGGCTCGAAACAATTATTCCAATAGAAAAAGCTGACCTTTTGCAATAAAGTGGTTTAAGAATGCATCGCTCCTCATTCCTAGTATAAAAATATTACCAAGCAGGGAAATATTTTGGGGAAAACAGAAAGCTATGAAAAACCCATATTGCGATTCTGCTCATACGTACACTATAAACCTACCTTGCAAAGGTTACTGCTTTAGAGAAACTCAGAATAAGAGAAAAAGTATACAGAGTATAAATAGTTCAATTGGTATCCTTATTATACATCTGTGCTTGGAATGGACACGAATATAAACCAACTAAAATGTTCCTCACAGGACTACTGTACTGACCAGCAATACAAAATTCAACAGCTTAAACTGTTGGTAGCAGAGATTGGGACTGAATCCCAATATTAAGAGCTCTTCAAAATGCATAAAAGCTTTAATGGGACACATTTTCATAAGCATTACTCAGAACTTAAGCCACATTAATTCCATTAAAAGCAATGGGAATTTAGCAAACTCTGCAAATAAACTCCTTACTGGTAGAACTATTTAGTTCTGAAATTTGAACACTGCCATTTTTCCTTAGAGTTTAAAACAGCAATCTTTCTATCAAACTAGCTCCTAACTGAAAATGCAGGAAGAGTGAAAACTGCAGATGAATTGAGATATTAGACTTCTCTGTCCAGAATTCTAGCTGGTATAAATGTATTACGTCCAACAGAGATCTAGCCTTTTAATATTAATTGGAAACAAGCAATGTTAGTATTCCAAACTGTGCTTTTAAAACTTCATTAAATATTGCTACTGGGACTATCACAACAAACTTTGCCAAAAGTAGTCATGCACATTCTAGAAAACAGGAATGTTTTAGACCATAATTCCAGGAAATGGAACTGCATATTTCCAGAGGAAAATATTCAGTGCATGAAATACTCAAGTGGTATGAGAGAGAAGATATTTTAAACTACTTACTTCAGTAACAGGAGGAATGTTGAGCTTTGGTACTTTGTTCTTCGAACTAGGTGTGTTCACTTTTCCTTCCAGCAGTGTTCCAAAGGACTGATTTCCATATCCACTCTCAATTTCTATCGGAGGTTTCAGTTCAGGTGAGTCATTGGGTACCTGGTCCTGACCGTCCATAGGCCTGACATATGCTGTAGGCTTTTGCTGGACCATGCTGTTTTTACAGTGAAGTCCTGGTGGGAAATTCTGGGTCGAAAGACCATTGTTCGCAGATAACAAAGATGTGGAAGGAAGTGGAGATCCAGGACCATGACCTACAAACTCAAGCTCTGTGGGTGACTTCGAATGACTGTTTTCTTTGTAAGTATGTTCTCCAGCTGCTGACTTTGAATGAGTATGCCTCCTCGAATGTGAAGATGCTGCCATAGAATTTGCTTCCTCAGTTCCTCCACTTTTATGCTGCTCACTCTGACAATTATAGAGGTCTTCATACCTGCCCTGTGGCTGGTCATGAGAAGAGCTATGCTTTGTCCGACTCTGCTGACTACTGGATTGGCTTGGCTGGGCCCCACTAGAGTTGTGACCACCACGTGACCAGTCTGTCCTCGACTTCCTGCTGCTCTGGTGACTGTGTAGCAAAGTAGAATTAGATGACAATGAAGAAGGCGGAGGCATTGATGTCGATGAGTGGCCACTGATCTGATGAGATGGGATCATCCTGTTTCTTGGTTCTGGGAAAAAGTTCTGTTCATTTTTGTCAATGGGTGTCTGTGGGACAGAATTCTTTGGGATTCCTACAAGGTGGCTCTGGTTGGAATGGTTGGTTAACAGGTCCTTCATCTCATCATAATTTCCCAGTGTGTTCTGGACACGGTTTGCAAGGGCATCACCTTTATTTGTCTAAAATATTAAAAAAAAAAAAAAAAAGGAAAAGAGTGAGTAAATTCCTGATTACGAAGTTACTGCTCAGAATAGTTGTCTTAGAAGATGGCAAATGTTAGCTGTTTAATGGTGTCATGCTGACATTTAATTTAATTTCAATTACATTTTGCATATGTTATGTAAGAAAAACCGATCAATAACTCTGTTCAAAGAATGTCTTGAAACAGGCTTGCATGAGTAACACTTGCACACTGCTTCCCATTTTCTTAAATATGCTCTCAGGGAAGTGTTTAAATTGCATCAGTTATGGATGTTAGGAGCAAAATAGACTAGTTTTGTGTAAGAGATGTTGGGCTTGTACATTTCATATCGTGCAAAACATGAACGTGCAATTACTGGCTACTGAGCATTTGAATTCCAATCACACAGTTTATTTAAGTATGCTATTGCTCTATCAGCCCCTTGACCCATAGTCCTGCCATAAAGAGAAGCTGGGTAGTCTGTAATAAACATATAGCACCAGACTCTTCACTCCAGTGTAACTCCGATTACTTTTCTTTAGAGGGTTCACTTTGACCTAAGGTATCTACCATCTGAATCCAGAAAAGAAAAAGCTTCTACCCACTCAAATTTGAAGCATTTGAGTAGCTTCAAATAAAAGATCAAAAATATTTTCTTATAGAACATAAATAGACATGATTGCCACATTCTTAAGTATCGGGATTCTTCCATTGTCTGTAGGCTGGTTGTATTTGTGAATCGTGCTTTTCTTTAAATTCCAGTAATTATTAAATAAATACTGACTCATCTGTGTCTCACTGCTCTTATACTTTTTCTTTTGAAGCATGAAGTGGGTTTTTTGGTTCTTTTTCCTTTTCCCTTTCACTTGTAAAAAGCTGGACAAATAAGCTGGAAGCTATAATTAATACGCAGCTAATTTTCTCTCTTCCTGTTCTAACTCACCCCACAGAGACCCAAAGCACCAGCCTTCTTACTGACCTTTATGTTCCATTGAAATGACCAGCAGAGAACTAACACATCTTATTCCCCATGCTTATTATTTTACAAGACTTAAAGGATAAAACAAAAGCAAAACTATAGTTCCTGTTCAAGCAGATGGTTAACTTCTACAGTTTGGAATTAAATTACGAAGTTGCAGTGTATGTAAGATACTTCAGGATATAGCCAACTATACTTTTACTTATGTTTGGGGTTTTTTTTCACTCAATACAGCATGTAGTGCAACAGTCCAAAGACACCTTAACACCAGGCCATAAAGATGGGGAAAGACAGCCCTATGAGCTTGTGCTTGGTTACAGAATGTCGTGCTTCATTCCTCAACAAGGGATCCTACCATGCCACTGATCCCATTTTCTTCAAATATTAGGCAGAAGTTTTGAGTGATGAAAAAAATCCATGCATGGATTTCTCCTGAAATGTCTGCTTATATTACTCACTGCTGAATTAGTCAGGAGATGAGAATAATATTGCAGAGAGATTTTTTTTTTTCCTTAGTACTGCACATGCCATAAAAAATGTTGAAAAAGAAGATAATAAATGCAAATTTCCTTTTGCTCATTCTCAGGGATTGTAACATATATTACCACTGCTCTGAGGCAGTGATTTAAAAATTAACTGTTCAACGTTGTTCCCATCTATATACATTTTGCCAGTGCTCCTAACTGACACAGTTAATAATCCCAGTTGTGGAGAACCACGAATCACTTTTATTCACTAAGTCCCTAGGTTGGTCATTTTAGTGGCAAAAATTATATTCTAGCTAAGCCAAGAATAAGCTCTTTGTATATGAGCAGTCTCCTTCAACTGAGTTGCACAATGAGCTGTTTGGGCAGCAGCCAAAACCAGGCGCTCTCTGTTCAACCCCCAAATTTAAAACAAGGAGATTCCATTGTGCTTAAGGGTTTGCGAAGTCTAAACACTTACATACTTGTTCTGTTTCCTCCTTCCCCAAACACTTTAACTCCTTATGGGACAGCACATGGGAAACAACCAAGTATTGAAAAAAGCCTGACCACCAACCTTCACCTCTGGTTCAGCTACACTTCCAGGGTGCATTTAGCTTACTTTCCAGAAAGCAAAAGTTTAAAAAAAAAAAGTACTCACAACATATCATCACTGTAACACTTCAACATCACAGCATATTAAATGGCTCTTGTCTAGATCCTCACAGAGGGGATCAATATTTTAATTTGGATGTAGAGCTTTTCAATCATTTCTGTGTTGGAGGTATCTGATTCTCTCAACTTATTTTCTTTTATATGTCACATAATGATAAATATAATTTTGCTTGATATTAACTCTGTTTTATGCAGAATGTTCACATCCTGAGGATAAAAGACACTGTAAAAATGTTAGGTATTATTATTTGTAGTCGTTTACTGGGAGCATTAATAAAAAATATATTTCCTGAAAAGCATGGAGATTAAATTAATTTAAACATCCTTAGCATATTTTAAGTGCACTAAAGCTCATATTCAATAGTTATTAAGTCAATGGAAGGATTATTACTCTCTTCAACGACCTTTGGTCCAGATTGCAAAGCAAAAAACACACAGTGCATGTGAGTGGTAATTTGGCTTATGCTTGAATAAAACTAGAGCACACATAACTAAGACCAGACTTGTGCAGCACAACCTGAACAAGCTCAGGTGTGTAGTGCAGTGTACTACCTGCATTTAAGACATAAAGCATAACATTAATGTTTTTATTTTATTTCCTCAACAAATTCGGGGCTCTCATGAGAAGCAGAGTATTCTTGACAAGCCTGGATACTAGCAAGACAAACACAAAATCCAGTCATAATTTCTGGTTGCTCTTTGTTACTTCCAGATTGGGGACAATTTCTACCTTCATATTCTGGATAATTGGCTGATTTCTTAAAGGAAAGCTCTGTACATCTTATTTTCTGAACAGCATGTTGAATCACAATTTTGCTGCCATCAAGGAAATGCAGCATTTTCTGAGTATTCCAAGGCACAAATTATACATCTGGTTTGTGACTCATGGCTAGTAGCCTTCCCCCTCATTCTAGGCTCTCGTTAATTTAGGAAATGTACACCTTCCTACATTTGCTTCTATTGCTTTCAAAAAATATCTGTAATAGAATCCTATTGGAAGACCAATTTGCTAGCTAGCTATTGCATTATAGTTTTACAAAGAAAAGAACTAATGCACTCAAACTTATAGGCCCAATTTACAAGGGTTTTGTGAAAATTTGTATGGGAACTTGAGGTTTCATAATTCATTCACTTTCTCATGCTTCATAGTTAAACTAACCTCCATGGATTAGAAGCCGAGATCTTTTTTATGCTAAGCTTGAATAGCATGGAGGGGCTTTACCTGAAAAAGATAAGTGATTTAACATTCACCAAAGGTTCCCCAATGGAAATGCTGCCCATTGGGTTCTCTTTCTCAAGTTGAACTCTTCTGAGGCAATTCCTTTGAAAAGTAACAAAAATTCTCCTACTGTTTTCTCTAAAATACTCATCTCTGAAACTCTTTACTAATTCAAAACATTAAAAGGTATCAACAATTCAGTAATAAAATTGCGGCTTCTCTCAGGAAAACTCTGACATTGCTTTTTCAAATGTCTGTTGTCATAACACTGCAGGCTCTTCTCTGATCACTTCTGCAAAATCAAGCATTAGTAGGTTGCACCAGAATTCGAAGGCAAGACCTGCAACCCACTTGCATTAAAGGGCAACACAGCCCTCACTGCCTGACCTTCCCAAAATAATGCTGGATGTCATCACATTGTCAAAGGTGTTGTTTCCCCACATGAGACACTGGAGCTTCAAAAGAACACTTTTATCTTTTAATAAGCATGCACAAATGTGTTTTACATACCCACAGAAATAAATCTCTCTTCTCATGTATGTGTACACATACATATACTACAAAGAATCAATGTAGAAACATGCACTTGTCCCAAACTATAATGATCACCTACGTTTTATCTGACAGCGGGATAGAAAGAAAGATGCTCTAACAGCTAGAGCAAAGAGATGATAGATGGAGGCAGATACTCCACACATCTCGTGATACACAAAGGCAGTAAGCTCCATGAGAAAATGTGGGCTTTTTTCCTCGACCAAGTTTTAATACCCCCAACTTTAGAGCCATCTTAAAACAGCTGCCAGTTGTTCAGTCTTTAAAACATCAAAATAGCAGTGGTGGTATTCCCTACCCCAACAGTCCCTCCTCTGGGTTACTGTTGAAGCAAATGAGGAAGGAATGATAAACAAGTAAGGACACTAGGTCTGGGAATAAAAGAAAGGAAAAGAGACATTTCCTATTTCCTGAGAGCTGATATTCCCAACCTTTCCTTTGTCACTGTAGTAGCCATCTTACCTCGCACCCCCAGATCTTTCAGAAACATACCAGCCATGCCTTGAGCTGATTCTCATTAGTAGAGCTAGCCCAGCTGAGGATGTGGACCTTGTGTCCATCACAGGCCACAACAGTTGACTTTGCAGGGCAGTGTTTTATCTCATTCTGCTCCCGCTGAGAGCAATCAGAAGAGACTTGATGGGTGCAGCTTGTTGTATGCACCAGGCCTTGAGTCTCACCCACACAGAAACATCTGTTCATCTCAAAATGGAAAAGGAATTCAAACTGAATGTGCAGCACATTTGTTCTCACCTCATGGCCTCTTCATTTTATTTTAGAATAAACATGAACAAAGTTTAGTTTAGTTTAGTTTTGCACTTGCTTAAGAATACAAATCGCTACAGATCCACTAAGAGTTAGATCCAGCTTTCATTAGTTCCTAGGAAACTGCACTGTGGCTGGTTGTTAGCAATGCAGAACTTACAAAGGGAAGACCAGTCTATCACTTTGTCCTTTTTTTTTCCCCATGGAGTAAAATGTAGGCAAGACCTAGCTTTCCTATTCCGTCTTGGTTTTCTTTGTTTTGCAAATTTAAGATAGATGTAACTATTTTTGCATGCAATTTCCTCTTAATTTTTATCTTTTGCAATTTATAATTACAATGCTTTTTTAGGATAGTAATACATTATGTTTTGCTCAGTCCCACAGATCTGACAAACTTCTCTGCCAAGCAGGTGAAAAGCAATTAAAAAAAAAAAAATTTGCTCAGGAAAATCACCAGGATAATTTTTTGCTTTTTAGTTGTTCAGTTTTTGACTAAACACATGCTCTGTGTATGCTTGGTGCAAATACATGCACACTAAACAGTTGTAAAATCAGATATTATCATTCTTATGGTATAATAGATATTGGGGGGGGGGCATGTTTTTAGTTCCCGACAAAAAATTTTGCAGTGATTTGCATATTGGTCTCCCTACTGAAATCCAAATGACCACTTACATGAACAAAAACGTTTGCACAGCCTGCAGGAAGTCTTAACAAAATCAGTTCATAGTAGGATATTATTCCCATAAATAAATGTGCTAAAATGTGGTCCAATGCAGAAATAGTGCATTGATTAGATTTTTATAAAAACAAAACAAAAAGACCCCACAAACAAACTGTCCTAGTGCATAGTCCTTATCTGGGTTAGTAAGTCTCTGTCACAGATGAGTGGAATGCACCTCACTCAAAAGAGAGAAGCAGCAATATATTTTATTGAGGTAAAATAATAATTTGACAGAGTTCAATAAGCTTGATGGAATTTAACACAGTTTAACACTGGTTTGACAAGGTTCACCTTATTAATTACTGCATGGAAGAAACATACAAAGGAAAATTGAGTTAGAATCAAGTTAGAATGATTCACGCAGAGACCAGAGATGCAAAGAGTAAGTAGGATCCTCCCATTGAGTCATGAGGTTCAGAGTGGACCCCCTTGCTTTCTAAACTCCTTTCGCAACTTAGGATCCAATCTTAGTCTCAGACTTGGTCAACAGTTTATGTCTAATGGAATTATCCATACAATATTTACAATTCTATTGAGTAGCTACATGGATTAGTAATGTTTCATAGTATTAATTCAGCATGCTATCAGTCACTTACCGAGGACCTGTCGCGGATAAGGGATCTCTCCACCTTGGGTAAGGAAGGATCTCTAGTCTCAGGTAAGGAATCGCTACCCTTGAGAAGCATCCCTGCTCAAGGGGAGAGTTACGTGGTGTGCAGTCCAGCTACAGTTCAGGGAGAGCTCAAATTGGGCCCATCCTGATGGTAATATTTATAGGGTTAAGTAGTTGGCTGCTAGTCAATAGTACAGATAAGATAGATGTCTTCGTTTTAGCTCTGATATCTTGTTCTGTACTTCGGTTACCTTGCACTTTTGGGTTTCAAAACCACCTTTCGAAATATTTTTCAAGACACCTTCACTCCCTTGTACATGAGCCAGGGGCTTTCCAGCTCGCAAATTCACCCCAAGGACGTGAGGCCTGTTGCTCCTTAGTCAGCCTGAACCAAAGTACAGCTAGGAGTCAAGTGTATCCGACACACTCTCCCAGCGTATAATTATTAGACACCATTTGACAATACTGCCAGTCTTTCCTCCTCCTTTTCGGGTGATTTTCAAAGAGCCCTCATCCTCCCTACAGCTGCTAACAATGTAAAATGGAAAGATGAAGTGGTGGCCTTTCAATGGATGTCACTGATTGGGAGGAGAAAGAGATATGGAAATTTACATTCTGATGAATTCTTCAGGGAATGTCTTACTGAAAATCAAAGCAGCAGACATCATAAAGGGGGACATCCCTTGGTGATCAAAATCTCAGGCAGCAAAGCTCCTTAGAGAGAATAAGACTTGTCATAAGTCCCTTTCATACCCTTGTTATGCTCCCCAAAGATTCAGACAGTCTCCCAAAAGACTTCTTTGGATGGTTATGATTGCACAAGAAAGCTTATGGACTCATTATAGAGAGGACATTGGTTTTAACAACTCAGGTATATTTTCTTCTTAAAAATAAAAGGACTAAGTGCTAGCTTTGTAGGTACAAACCCACTTGTAGAGATATCAGCTGCACATACTTCTATTTCAGGACTTTGCTGTTTGTTCAGAGGAAGAAATCTTGAACTGGACTGTAACCAAAATTCCCGATTCTGTCAGTGCTAGCATGCAATGTTGGGCAGAGCATTCAGTTTGTTCTGCTGCCATATGCTGATTTGGATAATCAGTGTATTCAAGAGTATAAGTACCAAGGCAGATACAATACTTTCATTTCTTACAGGTGATGAGAAGCTTTATTTGTATTTGTAAAATGCATTCAGGTAAAAGACATTCTGAAAATGTAAAGCATAACAATGCAATTTACCTTGTAGGGTTCCCCAAAGAGGTTAAAACCTGAAGCAAAGAGATCTTCATCTTGCTGGACTTCTTGGTTTCTTCTCTCCCATTCTTTCCGCTTAAGCGCACTCCGGTCTTGCTCATAGTGACTGAAGAAGAGAAAGACAAAAAAAGACAATACATTATTTTCCCCATAATTTAGTTACATGTTCATTACTATCAGTAAGAGCAGCAAAACATCAGAAACAATGCAACTCCTGAGGACAATTCTGAAAGAACGAAGCAGCCACTGAATAATTTTCCCAAATGTAAATTTGGAATTATAATACTATATGAAATTGGGCAGTAGGACAGTCAGTACACTTCTAAAATGAAAACAGACCAAAAATGTTCTTTTCAAATTAACAGAGCATTATGCAGAAGAATAAAATACATTTTGACGCATTTGTATGAACACTCTCTAAAAAACATGTGCACGCACACACACGCACAAACGCAAGCATGTGTGCCCACAAAGAATGTGTCTGTGCAGAGAAAGCAAATGTGAAGTCAAGGAAGCACAGCAACGTCTTCAAATCCATTTAACTGTGTAACACTTGTCTCCATCCATCCCAATGCTCCAGTTCAGCCTCATGTGATTTAGACCACCTAATTCTGTCTCATGTACTTGTTAAAATTTATGTACGGCTTCATTGTGGGTGTCAAGGGGGTTTTAAAAGGTGTTTTTGTAGCAGGCTCCCGAAAGAGACTTTAAGATAGTTGATTCCAGTATCAGATAATTCTACACACAAACAAACAGAGAAGGATCTAGCGCCTCAGTGTAGCAATGGCGAGTGGCACTTATCTGTATGTCAGCTTACTTTGTGCACCTGCCAGACCCAGATGACAAGCTGAGAGACCACATTCACTTCTCCCCTGAATAGCACTGAAGTACTTTGGCCTCTTGGCTTTGCAAACTACCTCCTGCCCCTCTGAGGGAAAAGATATAATTAAAACCCCGAAGGAGGGGGAAAAATAGGAAAGGAAAGAGGAAAGGAAAAGATGCATGCTTCAACTTGCACTGACAACCTCTCATGTGACAAGCATTAAGGGACACTTCTGTGCTTTCAACCAGTATTTGAGTTGTTATGAGGCTTTTGGCTCTGTTTTGTGTCAGTTAATTAGCTACCAAATTCCAGATGACAATTTGAATAGCAGATTCAGTATATGCACTGATGTTATCTGTTGTAAGCTGTATTTCCCTGATAGATTCTGGACATGCATGCACACCCTCTATGTACAAATACATACATACAAACATACATATTACATACGTAACAAAGAACAGTTAATTCTCCTATCTCTGGTGAGAATGAATTAAATCTCCATAGAGCTCCACTGCACTTGGAAGATAACCAAACATCTACAACTTTTGCCTTTTTAGCTCAGCATGATGTTGTATTGAAAGCTTCACACCGAGAGATATAATGAGGAATGAACTGCACAGTGATGAGGCTTTAACAGTGTATAAAGTCACTGATTTCTGAGTGAAACCACAATTACTAATTTGAAGCACCAGCTAATTAAAACCACAGCTATGTATTTAGCCTCTCGTTATACCTACTGCAGTTTATAATTATGAGGACCTCTTTATCTACTCAATTAAAGTTCTTATGATTCAGGCAGGTTGTGTTTGAACCTGCAAGGCCTGCAGAGAGCACAGGAAAGCATATGTCTGATGACTCCATGTATCCTTACACTCATATTCTTGTTTTTGTACAGGGAAGGAAAGAAAAAAAGAAAGACTAATGCCACAATGAGATCCCTAAATAAAAAAATATTAATTAATAATTGGTTTAAGCAATTCAGGATCACTCAGGCTTGGATTGAATAAGGCTTGAGTACAGCTCATAAGTAGAATGCAAAGCCACCTACATAGGCTGAGTTGAATGATTTCCATCCACATTTTCCTTTTACAAGTTAAAGGCTGAAAAGATGCCACATTTTATTTATTTATTTATAACACCTCCTGATGTAGTGATGTCCCTGGCACCAATATCAAGCTCCGGAACATTGTTATAATCATTCCTGGTATTTTTGCAGAAGCTATAGTACTATTTGCTGGTTTCCTGAGGGAGATGGAAGGGAAATTGTTGTAAGCAACAGTCACTTTACTATACTATATGTGATCATATTGTTGACATAATACTGCAAACCACAAGCGACCTGTTTACTAAAAGCTGAAGGGGGGCACGAGTCTCCCTTCCTTTCATGTCCTAAATCAAGATTAAAATCCACAGGTATGGGAATAAGTGAGTACAAACTGTTTTCCAAATTGATACACGAAGATGAGGACAAGGTTGACTCCATCCCTCCCCACAACTCTTCTGGAGTAGGAGGCTGGTTTAGCCCAGGAATAATCCAGCCCGGGAGCAATAGGAACACACTGTATTCACCCCTCAAGGGAGATTTTTCCAGGGATTTCTTTGACAGTTTGACCCATAGATTGTATGAGTCTTGCAGCAAGACCATTATGAAGTTATGAGCCCAGTCTCAACCCCAGCAGAGTGGATCTAGTGTAAGCAGCATTTTATATCCTGCATAAGTAATCTTTGCTTATGGAAGCAGTCCTATCCCAGGCACTGCCAGCATTCACTTCAGAAAGAATTATTCATGAAAGTTAGAGCTGCATTTTACAGCTTCCCAATGGCAAACTTGGCCAGGAGTTTCAGGGTGAAATCCGGGGCCCATTCAAATCAAACTGAATCTGGCTACTGAACACACAGATCACAGAATCACAGATTACAGCACAGATCTCATCCTTCATGCGAGGTTCCAGCACTTCGTCATCTAAAAGCTCACTCTGGTCTCCAAGCATGCAAAGTATTTAGGGAACTAAGTGAGGCATTATGCCATATCCTACCTGAGAAAAAGCAGCAAAGGCTCTAAGGCTATTTAGGTATGTCTTGTGACATATTACAAAAACACAAATTCAAAAATGATGAAAACAGCAGTAATTCAAAATGGCATAATCACTTTAAAAGACATTAACTTAAGCTAAGACAGCATTTACAATGTTAACAGCAAGAGGCTGAAAAAACCAGTATTTTCCAAGACAACATACTGAAGTATTTCTCTTTTAGTGCATGTGTTTGTGAAAGATACCTATTCCACGCGCCCAAGAGGTGAGCACAAAGGCACATCTCAGGCTCTGGACCCCAACGATATTTATAGACTACCAAACTGTGAGCATCCGTTTTACAACACAAGCAAAGCCCTAAGTGAATTGCTACCTTTGCATCAATCCAAATCTCTCTCTTATATATTCTCTTGTGAGAACAACAACAAAAAAACCCCTAAAGGTTCATTTTGAACTTTCCACTCACACAGTCACATCCCAGCCTTAAGTGTACAAAGTATCTATTCAAAAGGAAGTGGTTGCTCATCCTGTCAGGTCAATTACTTGGCTTATTTCTCTCCAAATGTACTTTTGCTACGGGAATGCTTGACAGGGCGCTGATTGTGGCTACGGAAAGTCAAATATTATAAGATCATACACAGATTAACATAACAACTTTTTTGGGTTCCTTTGTAATCCAAAGAGGGATGCTGATTAGATCTTAAGGCTGCAGTGCACTGAAAACCTAATGGGATGCTCTCCAGAAACTCTTAATGCATCCACAATGCAATCTCTGGGACTTATGTTTAATATTTAGCTTAACTAATGTTCTGTGAAATACACATATGTGATTAGTGGTGAAGGTGTCAGTGAAAACTATAGTCAGATACCATGAGGAACACCAGAGTTCAGTCTGCCTCATTAGTATGAGAAATACTTCTTGACTCCTCTAAAGCCAGGAGAGTAGGAAATCACAAATACAGACTTTTGCAAACATTTAAAAAAAAAGAGATTTAGAAGAAAACAGCTGCAGGCCACAATACTCACTGTATCCAAGAGGGTCAGTTCCCTAGACATAGCTATTATGTGACAATGTAGCTTAAATACATGAGCTTTATTGTTTTGTTACCACTTATTAGATTAATAATTGAATTTCAATTGGGAAGTCTGTACATAAATCTGAGATGATCAGGAATGGTGAGCAGTAAGAATGCTGCAAGAGCACATGAGACCACTGATCTACAAATTACCAGCGTGCTGGATATGGCAGAAAGAATAGTAACCATATCTGTATTATTGTTTTGGTATGTTTAACATCAAGGCAGGCTGCAAATGCATTTTAAGTAACAGCATTTGATACTTAATCCTTTAAAATCAGACCAGCATACACCCATTTGTCATTCTTCTCAGCTATGGACACCCTGAGGGACAGCAGTGAGCTGAGGCACCAGGACAGGCCAAGTACTCAGCCTGAATGAATCTGCAGAGTGTCAGCAAGGCCCATGGAGCTGCACCCTTCACACCCGCTATGGCCCATGCTGGCTGCAGGAACAATCCGAATCAAGCAGAGAATGGAGAAGGGGAGAAGGTGGCTGAGGCAGGAGGAGGTTTTATCAAGGCAACAGGTGGCAGACATGCACTTAGGTTTTGGACTGGAAGCTAAAAATGCGGATCTGGTGGTAAGAGTTGGAAGCCACATATGCATTGTCTGCAAAAAGGAGAACTAGAAAAAGAATAAAATTTGGGACATTGGAAAGGACAGTGCAATCATCTGTGGTGAAACTGAGAGGATGTGGTAAAAAAGATCTGGAGGGAAAAGAAAAAACCTTTTAGAACAGACTGCAACAGAGCAAGAGTTTAGAGGGAAGAGTTAAAGGAAAGCTGAAGAAATAAGACCAGCAGCTAAAGGCTGAGACCTAGCATTGGGGGTTTATCTTAAACGATGTGCTAACTAAAGCTACAGAAGTAGTCTCCCAAAGCACAGAAGACTAGGCAAGGCAGACAAGAGCCTGAAAGACAGGAGAAAGAGTAGAAGAAAGTCAGACCAGACAAGTTCGAAGGAGTAGTCACTGTGATACAAAGAAAATGTAGAAGAGAAAAAAAATGATCAAACACCTAAAGTTGCAGAAGAATCATGAATGAGAACAGAATACTACTCTGTTGATTCAGTTAAAATAAAGAATCAATAAAAAAGCTGGAGCAGAGAGGCTTTATAGTAAGTAGCTACAGACTACACCCATGAGGTTAAATGAACATTCAAGAAAAACAGCA